AGATAGAAAAATGTTTTCCGAATATGATTTAATAAAAATCGCTTAATTTTTGGTGATAAAGAGATTGCATTGCTGTCAAATAGAGAATCTTTTTGGGTACAACAGATATTGCATAATGTCTACAAAAAACGAATTTAATTCCGATTTCCATCTATATTTTCATTTTATAGGATGAGTCACAATATTCTTCTTTCTACTAAAATCATTTAATTAACTGTTCTTTGTTAATTGCTGGGTATCCTTGATTCTTTTTGACCGTTAGATGTTTACAGTTGGCGCCCAGAATAATTATAATAAAAAATGCATTAATAGCCAACAAATAAACTCAATGATCAACGAATTTTGGTATTAATTAACCGCGTCGTTACTTATGAATTGTTTCGTTAAATTACATGTTATTGTGTTAATAATAATCATGTTACCTAACCGTACCGTTGACTAGTCTGATTCAAATTTTATCAGATTCGCTTAAGGATTTTTTTATCGGAATTTTTGAAAGCTTCAACTTTGAAGCGTGTAAATTTGAGAAATATGCATACTTTTTATAATATCAATGAGGGTTGTAAAAAAGCTCCATTTTTTAGTATTAAGGATACATATCGAAATAAAATCCGACGAATTTTTAACAAGAATTTTAATGAAACTGTGGTAGAAAGTAGTTTACGTAGAAATCATTGAAATGTATTTTTTTCATTAGGTATCATATATATTGAAGGAGTGGAAATTACTCTTAAAGTTAGGGGTGAGAAACATAATTAGTCAAATATTTTGCAAACTAGTGAAACCAGCAAAACTAAGTATATTTTAATGTGAAAAACAACTGTGTAAACAGATTTTAAACAACTTTATTTTGTTTAAATGATACTTTAAAAAAAAATTGCTTGAAGTATCATAAAATTTCTTAAAATATACTGAACTTTAGAAATATTTTGCAGCCTTAATTAATTGAATAAAAAACCGTCTACTGACAATCCTAATCTCACCTAAGTAAGTATTAGAAATAAATATCATTTAAATAATATAACAATATGCAGGAAAACAACATATTAAAATACTATTTGTGAAAATTTCATTACTTCTCAAACTGCGATAATGTTCCATTTTAATTTCGTTAGAACAAGAACGTTCAATTGCAATAATTGTTCTTATAATACAAAAATAAAAATATTCATTTATATGAATATTTAACTATTAACAAAAACGTTTTTTAATGTATTATTAAAACAAAAGTTTTCTGAAATCTATTTATTAACACAATAGATATATAATACAATGTACGTGGAGATAAATAAAATAGAAATTAAAGGTGTGTGAAAATTAGAACTTATATTAGTTTGTCTACAATGTAAATTTTTCGCCTTTCAAAACTCTTCTCTTTTCTAAATTTTCAGTATAACCAAAAGAAAATAATAGCTCCTAGACGTCAGCTTTTACAAAAACCTTGGTCTCAAATAGGTCAACGTTAATAATTCTCTTCTCGTTCCAGTGACTGTGCTTGGAGTCTCTGTTCTCGGTCTTCAACGGCCACCGCCCAGATACTCTCAGCAATACATGCCGGAAACTTCCTTCACTTGTCGCAACAAGATCGTAGGAAGCTACTACGCCGACCCTGAGACTGACTGCCAGGTGTTCCACGTCTGCGTGTCCGTATCAGGCACTATCCAAGACTACAAGTAAGCTAACTCGCACACTCTAGAAATAGACTACGGGTGTCCACTCCCCTGTCTTATCTGGGCAAGAAAAATTGAGAATAATTGTCTTAAGCCATACGTAACGAATTTGCGTAAGTTTCTATAATCATTTGCTCTTGACAATCAAATTTGCGATACTTACCCATACATAAGACTTCGACTGGCTTCATACCTGTAAGATACCTGCTCTATACCAAATACAGGCGTGATCATTTCATTCTAAAACCCCAACTTTGTTGAACAAAAGGTTCCTGTGTCCCAACGACACCGCGTTCGACCAAGAAAGCCAAACGTGCGCTGACTGGTACGACGTGGACTGCGAGGCAGCAACGCTCTACTACGCCAGCGACAACTTCGACCTGTACAGGATCGGGTCAGGACTAGAGTCGCCACACTACGACAATTACCGTAGTGACGCGGAGCCGCAGGACCACCTGCAGCGCAGTGAGACCAGCGACCCAGTCCGCTCCTCAGCCAACACCCTCAACAGAGTGTCTTCTGCCAGCTACAACGCGAACCAGAACGGCAACAACCGAGACCTGCGCGGCAGCAGCAGCGGTAACTTCTATAATAACGGGAGGAACGGCAGGGAGGACGATTATGAGAACGAGAAGATCTACAAGGAAGAGGTACAGGACACCAGGAAGAAACCCGGAGTGAGAAAGGTCAGCAGGAAGCAACAGTTCAGCGAGAACGGAAACGGCAACAACAACTACCAGTCCAGCACACCGGCTCCCGCCCCATCCAGCGCTAACAATCAGAACACGTACACCGGCTTCTACAGCGGGAACAATTACAACCAACGAGCCACCAGTTTCGTTTCGTCCACTAGCGCCAGGCCGCAGGAGAACAGGAACCAGAACACACAGAGGTACAACACGCCGTCCTCGACCTACAGGCCCAACACGAATTACCAAGACAACTACAACTTCCAATCGCCCAGCACCACCAGCCGCACGACCGCTTACAACCCCGCCTACAATGGCAACTCAAACTCGAACGGTCAGCAAAACGGCGGTGGTTTCGGTCAGAGCACCACGGTGAAGCCGACTAGTTACAACAAGAACTATCAGAGCTACAGCAACGGTGGACAATTCCCGCAACCGACCACCTTGCAACCCAGCACCAATTACCAGGCGAACGATTACACCAACTACCAAAGGAATTATAACAACATTCAACGCAATGGGAACAACAACGTGCCTTACCAGTCCACGACGCCTGCGGCCACTGTCTACGATAACGCTTATAACAATAACAACAACGGACAATACAGACCCACGTCTACGAGACAGGAGATCTCTCAAGCCAGCACGAAGTACTTTGCTAGTTACACGGGAAGCAGCAGCTTTGCGCCGACCACCTACAGTCCGGCTACGAAGAAGTACGTGGCAAACGACAATGGTCAGGCCCAGACGAGGAACAACGAGAATACACAGTACTACGACAAGACTAGCCAGCCGGCCAAGGGCTCCTCGCAGCAGTATTACGAGAGCACCAAAGCGCCGAAGAAGGCCACGCAGTATAACAATTACGACGGCGGCAACAGTAAATATTACACCGAAACCAGCACGAGCAACTACGACATAGCAAGATCTTCCGTCGGGATCGGATTCAGTCCAGCGAGCATCAACCACTTGGCCGAAACGCCTAGATCTACCACTCCGGTGCCAAGGTAATCAGATCCCACTCGACCAACCTTCGTCCATAGCCTCCGACTGCTTTCTTTATTATTCCTTAGTTGCTTTGACAAAAGAAAGAGTAACATTCATTAGATGCCGAATGGATAAAACTAAATGTAAATTGATTAATGAAGGAACTAAGCATGTATGATGTAAGAACTCGCGAAAATAATTACACATTTCGAAGTAATACCGAGGTGCATACTGCGGAAGCCCCCTTTGAATTTGGGGTACCAGGTCCGTCCACCGTTTAACCCCACCTTGCCGCAATTTAAAGTAAATTGAAATTCAAATTCGAAAAGGAAAAATAAACGATCGATCAAAGGATCTCGTTGATTTTCGTTGTTCAGAAAAGAGAATGAATGAAGACACGCATGTTCATTTCGACAGGAGGATCTCCACTGCCACCACCTACAATCCCAATACGTTCAACTCGAACACCCAGAGGCCCCCACAAAATCCTACCACTCCCAGGGGAAGCACCTACGTCAGCGGGTCAGCGAGACCGTTCTCGTCAACGACGAAACTGCCGGTGACCACTACGCCGCGACCGAGATCCGGCAAGAAATCCGATTACGACTACGCCTATTACGATAACACCGCGGGCCTCGAGTACGACAGCCTTGACCTGGAACACGTGGCCGGGAACAAGGAATCCGCGAAAATCGCAAGGAATTGATCCCAGTTCCGGATCTCCTTCCAACGGAGATTTTGATTAAACCGCGCTAACCGAGTCGCTGGTTCTACAGAGAACTCTTACAGAGACGAAACTTCAATGGATCTTCGACGTTCTAAATTAGATGGGTGAACTTGAAATCCAGTCCGGGTCACCACCCGCTATTTTGTGGAGGACATTTCCATTACGTTCTACAGACCATTAGATAAAGAGGGAGAATAAGATTGTGACGAACCAAAAAGAAGTTTGAGAACGTGTATTATTTGGAATGTAGTGTTATAGGTAGTTAAATATAACCCCTTGCCCTATGACTTCTTTTTCTAAGAATAAGAGAAAATTCCAGTCTTATTACATGTCAACGTGTGCTTGAAGGTGTAATGATCGATAAGAGAAGAATAATATGTAATTTGCACTCAAACAAATTGAATAATATTTATCTTTGTTAAATTCTATTTGAAATCTTTGCCACGAGTCTGGCACGATATTGTAGGGCAAGGGGTTAACACGTTCGCTACCAGCGTCGCATATTTGTGATGGTCGTAATCTTATATTTATATAATAAAAATGAAATTAACCCTAGATATTGTTATTAGAAATGATAAACTACGACATTGTATTTAGGAACTCAATGAATCGTTTCATTTTTATTTTTCTAATGTTTTGTTTAGAAGATTTATTGGATTGAATTATATTATATTATAATATTATATTATAACATTTATATACTTATATTACATTAAATATTAAAATATTATTAAGGAGACCGTCACCGAAATAAGCGCCGGTAGCAAACGTGTTAAGTATGCTCAGTTTCGTGAACTTAATTCTGTGTAGAAAATTATATTTGTCATGTGTATTCGTACGCATTTCATTTTTATATTTATACAGATATTACATAATTTGTTTGGTGGTTCATGCATAGAACACAATTTCCATGCACGTGCATCTGGGAAATTGGTTCTTAGAAGACATTAGAGTTTCGTCTCTACGAGTATTCTCTGAGGTCAAGGACCTACTCTGTAAAACCGTCGTTTTCATCGAACGACGGCGGCCAGTGCGTCGTCAGAATCGGCTTTCGATGATAGCATTTAGCGAGCGTACTGTATTGAAAACCGATTTTGTTGTAAAGAGTAGCAAGGCTTGCCCTACTAAGCATAGCGATCCTTCAAGGTCCAAGTTTTCCTTTTCACATTGTATACTTTTTATACAGTATTGTAGGATAATGAATTGTTATGAATAAGACGAAACACGATGATTCTCCGCCATGTATCGGTAGCAAAATTTTCATATGTTCTGTACATATTGTAACGAGAAATGTTCGTATTTCCACTAATGTACGTCTCTATTCGTATCCGGAAGCCCGCGAACTGATAATGAGTGTATATACTATAAGTATTTTAATTGACAAAAAAGCACTTAAAAATCCCCCAAGTTTCAGTTTATTTCTCCTTCAAATCCTAAAATCAATTTCCATTATTTTTTACCCTTAAAAATGATATTAACCACTTATTGCAAAGGTGTTTACATAATTTACTCCCCTCACGCAGCAATATAAAATTTTGTCACACGTTCTCGGGGGTACTAGTGCCCTTTACCATTTTCATGTCATGCCCTGTCATATCGACTAAGGCTGATTTTGCATGGCAGCACTGTAAGTGATGGGTAGACTGCGGGTATTTATGTCACTAAAATATATTAAAATATGCAAGCACCATATGTTGAATATGTATTAATAATACGTCAACATATACAAGAATTAAAATAAAACGATCGTGAGGAGCTTTCTCATAACTATTATGAAAATTTATAAAACAATTAAACATTATATATACATATAAGAAGTGACCGGGGTCCAGGTCTATACAGCGCGTAGTCACGGCCCTTAACACTTAGACGACCGCCTAAAAAGAACTATAACCACAACCTCCTCCATTATCTTAAATTGAACTCATTTAATTAATTCGGCTAGAAACTGTGTTTTGTAAAAATAAGAACCGTGTTTGATAAATTACAAATAATCTGACTTCAAGACTTACTAAATAACAAAAGAAAAGGTAAACAGAATAAAAGGCAATACGTTGCTAAGTGAAAAGTGGGAGATCTCCCCATTCGGTTGGCTAAGTGTTAATAGCTGTGGCCGGAAAGCGATGGCCATGTGGCGCCAAAGTTCCGTGCACGCGCTTTTCACGGACATTTTCTTAACCTCTCACAACTTCCCGCGGGGGGTTCCTCTTCAGAAATGTCTGCAGAATCCAATGGTGCATAGCAAATTCGTGCTAGCCAACACACTTTTTGTAGAAATGTAACAGAAGTGCATACAAAGTACGCGCATCTACCCCTTTTTAAACTTTGATCATCATTTACAAGCATTTAATGATAAGCAAAATTCAAAATTTTTATAGCTACATATTTGGGCAAGTCTCCTCTATTTTCTACGACAAATTTTAACTGTCTATCGTTTTTAGTTTTCACGTAACACGTGATTCTCTGAAAAATTCGACCGTTTTTACAAAAACCCAGTTTTTTCGAAAACTGGACGTGACCCAGCAATTTGTTTTTCGGATTCGTATTTAGGACAAAAAACTCTATAAGAATCACCTAGTGATTATTGCAAGACACAAAAAAAGTTCAAATTTGTTCCATAGTGTTATTAACACGTTAAATGCTGTATCGGTTAGTGACTGACGCTTCTGAATTGCTTCACAAAAATTATAATATGCAAGATGACTGCTGTCGACTATAAATTTTTAATAACATAAATAAGTTGACAATAGTGTCATGTAAGAATTCTGATGCAAAATAATTAATAATTGTTCCTATTTACCTTTGCTACGAAGGAATAAATCATGCATAAAACGTTTAAGATTCTCATAGCGCTTAACGTATTAAGTGCGATAGTAATAAATGCGATAATAAGAAGTGCGTTGAAAATAAGATTTAGAATTTAGATCTAAAAAGCTTCCGATAAATTAAGATTTAGAAGACTTCCGAAAAATCTGCGTTTTTGACTGGTAGCGACATCCGTGGCGAAACGTTCAAGCTGGTACATAAGTGTTACCGATGTGGGAGGTCACTCGTGTGGACGCCGATAATAGGTTGTTAAACGAATATCAAAATATTTGTATGTTAGTACACCTTTCATTTCTATAGTTAGAGAATTAACTTCATAATTTCGAGTCAATTATAGTACTGTTGAGAATCGAAGAACATTAATCCGTTAGAGAAATCAGAAACTAACGTCTGAAAATTCTAGCTATAAAATGAGTTTTCAGAATATTGTTCCCATATTCATTGCTCGATCTCTCCCGCGTGATTAAAAGCTAGTTGGGAGAGTAAGAGCAATGAGCATGATAAAATTATTATTTAAACATGTGAGTGATTAGCAATGGTGAGAATAAAATACATAATATCATCAAGGTCCAAATAAATACTCTGAACACGTGTATTCCAATTACTCTAGATCATGTTTGTAATAGATTATTCATGGAATAGGTAAACACTTTTTCTTATTTACTTACGCGTTGGAAGCTTGACATGGCAACATTACAACAGATACATTTGTATATGGTTTATCATATTTACTACTTGATCAACTTCGATCATTTTGCTTGATGTGATTTTTCTATTAACCGTTCTTTAAACTTCTGATTTTTTACAAAGTCGGTAATTCAGAACATGTGACACCAAGTCGCATAAACTTGCAATGTCTATCATATACCTCATCTGTGCCGAGACTGCGTACATGAGCAGTTCTATGCAATGTTCAATCAAATACGTAAAAGTAGGTATGGAGAGGGTAACTTCTTGTGAGGGGAGTGTCACTAGAGTGATCGCAGCCACCGATTTAACATCCTTGGCTTAAATATTGATTATTAACCATAGAATATTGCGATATGAGATAGAACATCTAAATTTAATTGATTCAGATGATCAGTATGGGAAAAGTAACTATTTTGATCATCGGTGCGTGACACCACTACTGTGTACAACCGCATGCTGAGAAGAATTCGGAATTAAGATGTTTCAATTCTTCAGAATGCAATATATTTTTTATTGATGTTCTTGCCTTATCAATGATTCTTGCAACATACTTGAATAGTGGAAAACAACAATTAAAGGACATTGACAAATAAAGTCATCAAAGCAACGATCACTTGATACGTTAGTCACATGTAAGCGTTAAAACTTACAATATTAAGTGTCACGAAAAGATATCATTTAATTTTATAGTCGGACATAGATTATACTAATTGTGAAATAGAAGTATTAATTTTAGCCACGAGAAATATAGGGTATTGCATAATCTACATATAGGTTATCACATCGCTGTTAGTTCATTCAATTTTCTTTAATGAAAAGTTAAATGAATACTATTTGTGAGTATATATTACAGAAATTCCAAAAATAATGGGTAATGTATTGGCATCTACTGCATCAACACCTAATACATTTGTATCAAAACCCCAACAAGCAACATCAAATAACTTAGACCATCATGGAACAAATAAACTGGAAGGAGAACCACCTCCAGAATGCCCCATGCATAAATCAGCGCAAAATACACCTCCTAAGGTTACCACCGAATGTCCAGTAGATCATGCTGGCCAAGATATTAATCCTCTTAACATGGTTTGTATACCCAATGTTTTTTTATTTTCTAACACAATCAGTTATTATTTAAAATAAATATTCATGTGGACTTTTAGATGCCACCTGCTAATCAACAACCAGCACCAGATCAACCGTTTCCTTTGCCCACGGACAGACAAGTCTCATCAATACCAAAGGCGACAGCTGAAAATGAATTTTGGGTATATCCTTCTCAACAAATGTTTTGGAATGCTATGTTAAGGAAAGGCTGGCGATGGAAGAAAGAAGACATATCGCCTGATGACATGAGCAACATAATAAAAATTCATAATGCCAACAATGAACAAGCATGGCAAGAAGTACTCAAATGGGAAGCATTACATGCTCGTGAATGCAGTACTCCAAAGTTGCGCAGCTTTGGAGGTAAAGCTACACAGTATTCACCACGTGCTCGTATTCGACATTGGATGGGGTAATTTATAATTTCACTACGATTTAATTATATACATAAGTATTGTATGTATATGAATGAAATGATTTCAGATATGAATTGCCATTTGATCGTCACGATTGGATCATAGACAGGTGTGGGAAGAATGTTAGATATATTATAGATTACTACGATGGTGGTCAAGTAAATGACAAATACACTTTTGCTTTACTCGACGTAAGACCTGCTATGGATTCAATAGAAAATGTCTGGGATCGCATGAAGGTAACATGGTGGCGTTGGAGATATTGTAACGAATCAGCAGAATCGGAATGTGCCCAACAAACACAATAAAAAAGGAAATTAGATACTAAGTAGACTGGAAAAGCATCAGTGTTCTAATGATGTGCTAGTTTTGAAAAGCAGGACGTTATGTTCAAATAATGTACAATTTTAAAAAAACGAAAACAGCAGATTATAATTATATACGCAACCAAGTATATACATTAATATTTAAAACGAATATACGCGTTTAAGTATACATGAAATTAAAAACTTGTACAGCGAAAGATATTACGATACTTAAAATTTACTGCCAAAAAAAATCAATTTTAAAAACAACTTCATTCAAAATTCAATTTTATTTTTTACCAAGGACAATTTTAAAGTGACAATATTGTTACATGCACTTTTACATTGTTTGCATATAACTTCATATAATGATTTATTCTTGAAAACCAACTTACAGCTTTCAAACTAACTTGTATATTACTGTAACATATTGTTACTGTGAAACAACAGAAAATAAAATTGTTAAAACCGTTATATAACATTAAAATTCGTTTCTTTAAATGTCAACGAATCAAGGTAAAATAAAAAGTTTACTCCGAATATATCCAACAAACGTATTTATAAACATTATTTATCGTTAAAAAATTGATTCTGGAGATTTAGTAGTTTAATGAAATTTAACTATTCAAAGACTTTATAGTGATATCGAATAAAATTATATTCTTTTAAAATATAAACACACCCACAACCAAAACTAACATTCGTTTTCGTTGCTATAACTTATTATAGTAACTTATATAACTTATATTAATATAGTAACTTATATAACGTATTTAAATTGCTTCAATACTTTATTCAATTGGAAGATTAATATACAAAGTGCTTTATAAATAATTTGCATTAAAAAACACGAGAAATTCGGATCACCCTTAAATTTTTATACGTAACTCATGATATTAAATGCATTAAAAAAACACTTTGCATTGAACAGTACCCGCTGAACTATTATTCAATTATATATATGTGTATATATGTATGTTTGTACAAATGTATGTATACTGTGTATTGTTATATAATATATAACTTTCATCGATTACAAAAATGTTTTACATGTATATAACATTGAATATTATAAATCGATGCACATGAAATAATGATATTCCATTATTAGAATACTGTATCAATTATAAAGTATTTAATATTTTTATACCAAATATTAGTCTTACCCTGATCTCATTTTAAATTCGATTTATTAAAAAACCGTGGTTTGAAAATTTTTCTGTATGTTTCGCAACATACTCTATCACTATTTAAAGTATTCTGCTTCTCCTTAACGAGGAACTAATTTTCGGACTATTAGTTTCAGTTATAATCATACAGCAAACAAGTTTTCTTTGATAAAGTGTTTTAAAAAATTAGTACACAGACAAACTACTAAAAATATTACGTCCTTACGACTTATTGGAATATTTTCAATTCCACGTAAATTAGAAAATGTTCACAATTTTTCTAAACAATTGGCACATTAACTCTTTGCATTCTATAATACAGATAAAAGCGCTGATCTGATACTACTACTAAATTTAAGTTTGCGTTAATTCGCATATCGTATATTTCAATACGCTGATTTTAATTAAAATAAGCAACGGCACATTTTATGCTTTTTATATTGCTTATCCAGACGACAATGAACAGATATAATTTACAAACTTGTAAACAAACTACTTTATTATATCATTAATATAAGACACATTCGCTGAGTAAAACAATTGATAGTTTTTACTACTTTTAATTCCTTTTAAATAGAATTATGAGGCAAATAGCCAATACAATTTTTCGAACCGCAAAGGCAGGGTGTATCACTGAGTTCATGGACAGAATTTACAACTCCACCGGCATAGTTAAAAGTTATTTCTTCACCAACATCTATGTTTCTAGATGCAAACAAACATAATCGAGGCACTACTGTTTCAACTCTGATAGGTACAAGATTAGCATTCGGTTCACAGCTATGATTACAGTAGCGTCCAATATTACCAAAATATTTAGGATCTATACACGTTACGATAATTCGTTCACCAGCATATTCAGAAACTATTAAAACGTAGTTCATACTATTTTTATTTGCTTCTACTCTTCGTCGTGCTTCTTCAATACCTATTACCTCACCAGCATATTCGCAAATGAACTGTCCTTTGTTAATCAGTTTAGTTGTAATTAAACCAAGTCCCTTTTCACCAACTTCCGATACCATTAAACTATTCAACGGACCTTTCTGTACCACTTTATTACCACAAGTTTCACTACACGTGCAATAAGGATTGCACTCAATAATGGGCCCTTCTAGTTTCTCATCTAATAATCGATCATCGATGTAATTAGGGGAACCACGTGTACATGAACAATTCGAACATCTATCTGTACATAAACAACCTAGTGAGTATTCTGATTCAAAATCACCTAAATCTATACCTGGACCTGGTATATTATTTACTATGTACATAACACTCGGAATATTATGCTCGTATTCGTCTCCACAAGCAGTTGCCTCCATACTTACCACAACTGTACATCAATGTAAGCCCCAAATAAGTATAATAAAATGTTTAAATATATTGCAGCACAAAATAAAGAAGAAAATGTGGTTTTATAAAAATTAGTTATTTTAGTTTATAGTCCTAGAGATCAAATACCGTGAACTCTACTTTCCCCCACTGACCTTTAATAATCCTTCAACCGATGATCTCAGATATTGCAGTGTAATACCAGAAGGCAATGGTAAGATTTTATATCCTACATAAATAACAGCACTTAACAACGAGATTTTAACGGTAAAT